ATATATATATATATAAACACGCTTCAAATTCAAATTCAAAATGATTCCCGGCAAGATCTATATAGTCACAAATCGCTCAAACAAAACAATACAATATTCTACACCACCAGTGTGTGTAGAGAACAATCTAGTGCTTACAATTTTTGAGTGTGTGTGTATGTATGTAAAAATTATATATGTATGTATATCTGTGTGTATGTATATATATATATATATATATGTGTGTGTGTGTAGAGAACAGTCTAGTGCTTGCAATTTTGGAGTGTGTATGTATGTATGTAAAAAATATGTGTATGTATATCAGTGTGTATGTATATATGTATGTGTAGTCTTTTAGTTTTTGAGTAAATTTTTTCTTTTTAAATTTTGTAACCTTTTTCTTCGGATCTGAAGAAGCTCTTTGAGAAGCCAACACAACAACAAAGATTTTAAAAGCAAACAATCCATTCATCAATTTTTGTAAATGTATACTCATCACCGTCTCGCTACTGTCACCCTCTCTGTTCGTCTCTCGCCGCCTCCAGTTGCCTCACCGTCTCGCCTTGCCTTGCCTCCCCTCCGTCGCCTCGCTGGGAAACCACGTCGCCCCAGCCCTCTTCGTTCATCGCCTCTCTCATCCAGATCATCGCCTCTCTGTTCGTCTAGGGTTCAAAAACAAAAAGGGGCTACTGGAAAGCAAAAGGGGAAAAGAAAAAAAAAAAACAAAACAAAAAAAAGAGGAAAAGTTATGCAAATAGTCCATGTAGTTTACACGATGTGTCAATTTGGTCCATGTAGTTTTAATTTGCTCGATTTTGCCCTTTAATTTAACAGATTGTGTCATTTTAGTCCAATAAATAACGGTTGTTAAGTTAATTTAACGAAAAGTCAAACAATGTGTCAATTTGGTTCTTGTATTTTTCATAATGTGTCAATTTATTCTCTGTCGAAATCGAGAAAATTGAAACTACAGGGACTAAATTAGCACATCGTGTAAAGTACAGGGACTAAATTGACACATTATTTGACCTTCCGTTAAATTAACTTAACAACCGTTATTTATTGGACTAAAATGACACAATCTGTTAAATTAAAGGGCAAAATCGAGCAAATTAAAACTACATGGACCAAATTGACACATCGTGTAAACTACATGGACTATTTGCATAACTTTTCCTCTTTTTTTTGTTTTGTTTTTTTTTTTTCTTTTCCCCTTTTGCTTTCCAGTAGCCCCTTTTTGTTTTTGAACCCTAGACGAACAGAGAGGCGATGATCTGGACAAGAGTGGCGATGAACGAAGAGGGCTGGGGCGACGTGGTTTCCCAGCGAGGCGACGGAGGGGAGGCAAGGCAAGGCGAGACGGTGAGGCAACTGGAGGCGGCGAGAGACGAACAGAGAGGGTGACAGTAGCGAGACGGTGATGAGTATACATTTACAAAAATTGATGAATGGATTGTTTGCTTTTAAAATCTTTGTTGTTGTGTTGGCTTCTCAAAGAGCTTCTTCAGATCCGAAGAAAAAGGTTACAAAATTTAAAAAGAAAAAATTTACTCAAAAACTAAAAGACTACACATACATATATACATACACACTGATATACATACATACATATTTTTTACATACTTACATACACACTCAAAAACTGTAAGCACTAGATTGTTCTCTACACACACTGGTGGTGTAGAATATTGTATTGTTTTGTTTGAGCGATTTGTGACTATATAGATCTTGCCGGGAATCATTTTGAATTTGAATTTGAAGCGTGTTTATATATATATATATATATATACACATATTATTTGAAGTGGATTGAGTTTGGTGACTGTGGAGGATTGGCTTTCAATTCGGAGATCATGTGGCAAAGAATTCAATGGCTTTTATTGTGCTTTGAATTTTCTCTTCCTTTGTTTCATTGATTTTGGTGCTTCTTTTCTGCAGATGAGATTAGGGGTGATGTTGATGCTATATTGGTCCTGCCTTGCTTTTGGTCAATTGCTCCTGCTTGCCCTCTCTAATATATATATATATATATATATAAATCTAACAGACATTGCATTATTGTATAACTCCAAGAATTTTTTTATTTATTTATTTTTTTTGAGATGAATCCAAGGATAAGGTTGTTGAAAGATGTATGTAAGAAGCGGACTTGGAGGGAGGAAGTTCCTCCTAAGTTGATGCCCGTTTTGATTGATAAAGTTCCTAAATCTTTGTAATGGGGGATCAACCTCCACCCTCTAAAATAATAATAATAAGAAGAAGAAGAAGAAGAAAAAGATTGTTGTAGATTTTTATTTTCTTTCTTTTCTTTTCACAATAATAAGCAAAGAAAATAGCTAATGAATGAGGCACTTTGTAAAGTGTGAGCATTTATTATTTGTCCACAATGGACTGGACTGGACTGGACTATTTGGGTCGTGAGGCCAATCATGAATTTCGTCTTAGTGAGTCAAATCGTTTATTTTTTAAATCATAACGTATAGATTATCAATAAAAAAAAATAAGTCAATTCAATAATCGTAGCCACATTAGTTCATCACATTTATTTGCAATAATAATAATAATAATAATAATAATAATAATAATAATAATAAACGACAAATATTATTTAAAAAATAGATAATCTATTTTTTTTTGAAATAAATGTAATAAATTAATTTTTTTTTGGATCAGCAAAAAAGAAATTTTATTGATAAAAATAAATATACAACATACGAGCTTACATCAATAAAATGGGGGGGGGAGGCGAAAGCAAAAAACATTATAGCAAATTTCAAAATCCCAATTAGATTGGCATCAAGAAAAATGTACAATTATATTCAAGCTCAAGTCAAAAATGTTGGTGAGAACCCAACAACAACAACAACAACAAAAAGAATAAAAAAAATTGGAGGATTAAAGCATAATAAACCCCAACACTAACAGAGAACAACACTAACCAAGCACTTGCGAAAAACCGGGGACTTATGGAGACCATTTTAACCAGCGGCCACTAAATCATAAATCACAAATGCACTTTCAAAACACAGGCATCCGAAAGATCCATTAGGCAAGGCGACCCCCTCTCCCCAATTCCTTTTTCTAATTGTAGCAGAGGGCATGAACTGTCTTCTCCAAAGAGCTAAGGCCAACAACCTTATTCAAGGTATTGCAATCGGTTCCAAAGGTCTTGTAATCTTGCATCTCCAATGCTAGCCTAAAAGAACTCCTTGCCTTACAATTATCAGAACGACTTGATTTTTTTATGAATAATTTGCATGTTGTAATCTAAATTAAAAACTATTTGGATCATATCGTAAGAGAATTCGTGATTAACTTCACATACCCAAGACAGGTTGTGCTCTTATTATTTTTGCCAATTTGTGATCGGAGAGGGTAATTTGTGTAGTCAAATTGGAAGGAGCTGGTCAAAGTGGTCTTTGAGGGCTTGGTCTTGTGGTGGGCCAAGCTAAGGGCCATTGCTTTGAGCCGAACGAATGATAGGTCGGTCAGAGGTGGTTGATTGGACTATTAATGGGCCGTATGGGCTTGGATCAAGCTGTCTGAGCAGCTGATGCTTGGATTGTGTTACAGCGAAGACGGCCTAGCAGGCCAGAGTAAAAGCTGACCAAGCTATAAGGTAATCTACCAAAGCGGAGTGACGTCCCAGTCAGGCATAGCCCGGCATCACATGCTGCATGGTTGAGCTAATGACAGGCAGGGTAAAGGTAGCTTGGTTGTATGGCAGAAGCTGAGCAAAAAGAACCATCTCACTTGGCTTGTAGTGAAGAGGGTATTGAGAGATAAGCACTATCCTTTAGGAATGTGATTCTCATGAGGACTCTGCTAAGGAGAGTTAGAGTCCTGCTAGAATTGTGCCTGTGAAATCTACAAAAGCTCATGACAGACCCTATTATCAGGTATTGCAATTGATACTCGCGAATTCACAAAGCTTTTGTATCCTTTGTCTACCTGTTGACTTAGGTATCGGAGGGTTTTCCGGTAAACACCTACCGGCTAGCTCACGCTTGTGTTTTCAAGTGTTACGACGACGTTTGGAGGAGTGCAAACTTGATCAACAAGATTAGACGAGGAAGATTATTTTGTGCTCGTACATGATCTATAATCAATCACCGGGCATCATTTCACCACGGGCCAAATATAGGAAAAATTATTAGGTAGCTTGGGGTACCACATGGAATGCTCTCTCCAATTATTAAATACATATGTTATTGTAATTCTCTTATCACCCAACACTAATGGCTCTTTTGACAACATCACATTTTAGTTTAAAATTAAAGAAATTATTAAAAAAAAGTTTAAAAAAATATAAAAAAATTAAAGACTCATTTTCATTCACTTTACTATATATATATATATACATATTTTGTAAAAAATGAAAAAATCATCCCAAACATTAATTTTATTTTTCAAATTTGATAAAAGAATTAGTGAAAGATGGGAGATATCTACATTATATATATATATATATATATATATATAAGTTTGGATATTAAAAAAAAGTTTGGATAAATTACACCAATAATTTTTATACTTTGCATTTTTTAGTATTATTATTTTTGTCCCTATATTTTTAATTGGATCGATTTTGATCATTAATTTTCCAAATTATAAAAGGTGATTAATTTCCTCCTTCTCAGCACTACACTGCACTACTTAAAGCATAATTTCCAGTGTCTTAGTCTTGGAAGTTAGAATCATAAAGCAATCCTCGTTCGAGTGCTATATTCTTAGTCACAAGTGTCGTGAAAAATTGTCTTACATATTCTAAAACATTATAAATTAAGAATTGAACCTAACTTTTAAACTAAAGTAGCATTACTTTATATTTTATTTACATTTTATTTTATTTTTTATTTTTAAAATATATATTTAAATTTATAATTCAAATACAACCATAATAATAATATTTTTCGTGAAAATTGTTGACCATAGCCATATAATGGCCCCACATGGCTACTACCAGCTTTTATTATAAAAGGTGGTAACTTTCCTCCTCCTCAGCACTGCACTGCATTACTTTGAGTGCTATATTCATAGTCACAAGTGTCATGGAAAACCAACAGGTTCGACAAAGGTTGATGGAGGCTGCAGAAACAGGAAATATCAGTCTCCTGTACGGGTGTATACAAGACTACCCAAAAATTTTGGATAGTATAGATGAGATCCCTTTTGTTGATACTCCTTTACACATAGCTGCCTCAGCTGGACATGCCCATTTCACTTTAGAAATGATGAGATTAATGCCATCATTTGGTAAGAAGCTGAACCCACAAGGGCTAACCCCCTTGGACTTGGCTTTGCAAAGTAGGGAAGGCCTAAGTCCCTCGGACCCAGCTTTGCCAAAAATGGAAGAGCTAAGCCCGGAGGACCTGGATTTGCAAAATAGGATCACTTCGACTATAATTCGGCTCATAAATTTTGACAAGGAGCTCATACGAGTCAAAGGAAGGGAAAGCTTCACTCCTTTGCACTACGTAGCTAAAAAAGGTGACATTGAGCTTTTGGCTGAATTTCTATATGCTTGTCCGGAATCAATAATGGACCGGACAATTCGAGATGAGACTGCACTGCACATTGCTGTGAAAAACTCTAAGCAAGAAACATTTGAAGTGCTGTTGGGATGCCTTCGCAGGATCCGAAAACATCGTCATGTGCTAGGCTGGAAAGATGATGAAGGCAACACCCTGCTGCATATTGCGGTGTCCACTTCACAAACTAAGGCATGCTATCTATCTATTCTTTGGTTTTCATTATAGTATTTAAGCATGTTTGTTTACCGTATATAAGGGCTGGATATAATAAGAGGCGAGTCTTACATAGTTTTTTGTCTCTATATTATGTGTTTGGTTACTCCGAATATAGAGTCCGTATAGTATATATATAATTCAAAAGGGGCATATGAAATACCATCCCTCATGGTAGTGCATATCTCCCACCGCCGGATATAGCTCATCTTTCATCCAAAATTACAAAATAATCTCTCATTTTATCTCATCATATGTCATATCTTAACTAAATATAATATAAGTGACACACAATATATATAAGCCATCCCATATTCTATAACATATATTATATCACATTTTTATCCCTAGATATTACATATCCTCTTCAAATCTTTATATCCAATCGGAACAATCAAATGGAGCCTTAGTTGATCACCAAGGATCCTCTAGAGTATTTTTTTCCTAAAGTTTTCTAAAGTGGTGTATTGTGTGGTTGAGATTTAATGCTGAGAAATTGATTTAACTTGTCATTAAATCTCAACCACACAATGCACCACTCTAGAAAACTTTAGGGAAAAAAAAAACTCTAGAGGATCCTTGCTCTTAGTTGATAATGTGTTTAGCCCTATTGGTGTTTCTCCATATTTATTGGTAGCAATTGGTAGGAGCTCTTTCTATATATTTTATAATATTACACATAAATAATTTTTTTCCGCTACATTTTACATCTCTGTTATCTATCTATATTATTATATTTTAAAATCCGTACTATAAGCGATAGATCAAGTAACATATGCTAAACAATAATAAAATCTTTTATAGTTTAAGGGAAATAACGTGATAGTGGATTAAGGAAAAAAATATTTACAAAAAAGATGAAATACATAATAAAAATTAATAATTATAATTTTTTATAAGTTTATAATTAATTTACACTGACACAGTGTCAGTGTAATTGTCCCTAAAATTTATCTTTTTTTAATAAATCTCATCATGTAAAATGTTTGATCAGAATTTTTTTATATGATTGCTTTCGAAGTCTTGTTGGTGAAATTGTGATTGAGCGGGGAAATAAAGGAGAGAGTGCAAAAAGCATCACAGCGATACATCAAGATCCCAACCAAGTTGGCATCAAGATGCACACAAAATCATCTGCTAGTACACACTCCAAGTTCCAAGTTGGTGAGAAACCAACCAACAGAGCTAAGCAAAACAAGAAAAAATAAACCAGAATACTACAGAGACCAAACAGCCCCTGCAACGAAAGACCAAATCACCCCATGCAACTGTGCATTCATACAGCAGCTAGGTAGTTCCCCCTATCAATTAATTCTATAACTACTAGAACTCAAAAAAAAAAAAAAAAGCCAGCAGCAGCACCAATCTTTCAACAAAAACAGTGCTCCTAATCAGAAGACATCAGCACCAGCATCAATCCTTTCACCAGATCATTGAGCAAAGCAGCCACACAACAAGGGCAGCCTTCCACAACTGCTAATTCCACAGAACATATAATCAATACGCCAACAAAAAATAATTAACCCCCAACATGCGCACCCAAGGAAGCAACAGACAGCCCCAACAATTGGTGAATGCTACCGATCAAACAGAACAGAAACCAAACTGCACAACATCAAAACAGGATCCATGATATACAACATCTTCAGAAATCAAGAATAAAACACTCTCAAAGGCAGACCCTCACATGATTAAGGTTGAATACTAAGTCAGTCACAAAGTAATGGATGTCTTTTACAGAGGTCTTGATCCAAAATGCAAGCCTAAGCTTAATTAGCTCACTCAACTCAAAGCAATTAGGCTGCACTTCATTGTATATGCATTCATTCCTCTGTTTCCAAAGTGACCAAAGAACAATTAGAGGTAGAGCATCCCAGATCCTCCTTTCTAATCTTTTAAACTTGCCACCCTTCTACCAATGGAAAAGATTATCAGCCGAACTAGGTATCACCCATTGAAACCCCCACAACTGCATCATTTCTGCCCAATGGTCCAGGAAAATGGGCAAAATAGAAGTAGATGACTAGCTGATTCAGGTTCTGATCTGCAGAAAGTGCATAGTGTGGCAGCATCGATCTGCAGAATGTTACTTTATTATCTTCATAGTTTTTATATTATTAGTTAACGTTTTATTGATATTGAATATTTATAAATATGTAGTACACATCGATGTACATCCATATATAACTTTGTCTAAAATAAAATTTCTTTATATATAATCAAAATTAATATATTATATGGGTGCCACATACTACCCGCGTAGTGCACGTGTATGCAGTTGAACAAAACTCCAAAATAACTTTTTTTGGGAAGAATTAAAATGTGTGACCTGTAGATGGGAAAGTGGACCAGGTATGACAAATTTCAACATTATGAAATTACCATAACGTGTTTTTTTTTTCCCTCGTTATTTTTTTTTAAAAAAAAAAAAAAATGTATACGTAACAGCGATATGCTCTGTTTTTAATTATAATATGTTATATAATTACGAACAATATTATACACACATGGGTAAATGAATATATAAATAAATAAATATATATATATATATATAATCAATTTTTATATCATTAAACACAAACGTAACATTCGAGTCACTTATTTTCATGTCATGTCTAGTTAAAAAAAAAAAATATGATCTCTCCATTGCGTATTGTAATTTTATATTCATTAATAATTTTGTATACATTTCTCTTATGCAGATTGTGAAATCTTTACTTAAGAAGAAAAATGTAGTGAGGCTGGACAAAAATGCAAAGAATTTGAATGGCCGAACAGCACTTGACATTGCAATTGATAATCCTGGTGAGGCCGCAAGAGAAATTATAAAAGCTTTAGACCATGCAGGAGCTTCAAAAAGTACATCACTTCCTAAGGATTATAGTCTTGCTAAATTTTTTAAGTCGCCACAAACGATTATTGAATTTGCTACCCGACAATATTTTTATCAAGGAAGAGCATTGACAATGGAGACGCGGAATGCAATACTGGTTGTAGCTGTTCTAATTGCAACGGCTACTTTCCAAGCTATACTTAGCCCCCCTGGTGGAGTAGTGGTAGGAACTGGCGACAACAATAATCAGCCTACTACCAATGAAAACCATATTAACGTCACTATCATGTCCACCACCGCCAACAACCACCTTATTCCGACTAATAACGTCAGTTATATTAACACCACCATATTCACCAACCCCACCACCACCAACCCCACCGCCACCGTGGATCCTTCCAAGCGAGTTTTATTCAAAAAAACTAAGTTGAATGCACCTATTACATACGGAATCTTCTTCAATTTTTTTTATTTTCTGAACACAATATGCTTTCTTTATTCAGTCACCACGATTATATTTCTCCTCCCGTTACAATATTTTAGTATCTTCTTGTACGGTCCCCTATTCCTTCTGATGCTGAGCTATGGGGCATCATTTGTCGTCATATCACCATCGACCTATTATACTGTACAATTTTTCTTTTTAACTTGTGTTTTTGCTGTTGTGATGTATTTCACGTTGCCATTAAATAACGCAATTTGGGATAACTTGGAGGGATTTGTTCCATCGGTTTTCAAAGGAGAGCAGGGGAAACGCCTTCAGATGCTGTTCCATTTGTTAGAAAGATCATGATGTAGAACAATGGGCTCAAGACTTTCTATATATATATATTATGCTTCTACTTTTGTTTTGTTTATCTTATTAGCCTGAAGAATAAGATGCTTTTGGGAGGTTTGGTGTGTGGTGGTGTTGTTATTTATTTTTCTTTGGCTTTAAGGGCTTATCTCGCCTTCATCTTTTTCTGCTTTTGGTCTTGCAAGTTTTGCAGAATTCTGTGTGGAAGTTTAAGCAAATGTCTATTTAGGTCTCGTTTGGGGACTAGTTGATTTAATAAAAAAGTAAAAAGTTATTAAAAAAATCAAAAAATCAATAATTCATACTAAAAAGTCAAAGGTTCTCTTTTCTCTCTACTTTTTGCATATCTTTTCGTAAAAAGTCAAAAAGTCATCCTAAACATACTAATTTTTTTTAGCTCATATTTTAGCCAAATAATCAAAAAGTTACTAAATTAACTTGTTCCCAAACGAGGCCTAGATTTCTATTTTACTACATTTCATATGGTTTCGTCCTATTGATGTACTACTCTCTTTGTACTTTATTGTCTATTGTTTTATTAAACATGTTTGTTTTTCAATTTTTTGAAAACACTTCTTAGAAAATTCTACTTTCTTATTTTTCATTTTCTTTTACTGATTTTTAAAAATATTTTAAGCAAGTTTATAAATTTTAAGATACACCTAACATAAATACACTTAAAAAAAATCTTTAAAAAGTTCACTAAATATCAAAAATATAAAAAAAAATATGAAAATTCAGTATATCTTTCATATTTTTGTATATTTATTAATTTTTTAAAATATTTTTTCATAAATATTTTACTTTTTAGATACATGTATCTAAAAAAGTAAAAAAAAAATACTTAAAATTTAAAAAATATTCACAAAAAAAAATGAAAAAAAATAATTTTACAAAAAATTTAATCCAAAAAACTAAAACTAGACAAATTAGCTTTCACTGTTTCAGCGCAATGATCCAACTCCTTGATAAATGCAATTTGGTCTCCCAAGATCGGAGTGTTTTCATCCACATAAAATAAGATAAAAAATGCTAGAGGCCTCAAAAATTCTACTAAAAATTTTATCAAATGTCTCACATGGGTGTGGGACCCACATTGTGTGAGTAGTTGGAGTCAAATAAGATAGGAGTCTTATTAATTATCTAACAGATATTAAATACATTTATAGTTTTGTACAACATTTTCCGTATTAGTGTGAGTAGTTGGAGTCATTTATTATTTTTTTTAACATGTGCCTTAACAATATCGTTCTCATATTTTGTTGCTTTTATCATTTTGGTTTGTGTAATTTTAATTAGTTCGATTTTCACTTTTTATTTAAAAAACTTTGTCAATTTAGTTTAACTGATAACATTGATTAGAACTTTTGAAAGTAAATGACTACTGAGTTGGTTGAAGTTTTTTTTAAATCAACAAAAGAGAGTCCTTTATTAATGATTAAAAAAATACATCAATATCTAATAATTGTAATATATTGAATGAAATTGAGATGAAATCATAAATTTAAGAACAAAATTGAACCAATTGAAATATAGGAAGTGCCGGTGCAATTTACCTTTAATTAAATTTCTAAATTGCCAATGTTTCTTCAATGAGTAATGCTATATAACCCCAAAAAGACAATTACAAAAAAAAATAAATAAAAAAAAAAAACCCTGTATAAAATGATATGGTGACATTATGAGCTTATTACTTTAGAATAAAACAAAAATTCTTGAACTCTCATTGATGCCAAATGAAAATTAAGCACATTAAAATCATCTCTTTAAATTGTTATGGAGAACACAATTTTGGTGAGAAAATTCGGGTGCACTACAAAATTTAAGGTTTTAAAGATCAAAATTTAGGAATAAAATTATTTTTTAGGAAACAAATATTTTTGTTACGAAAAATGTCATCATTATATTTTTAGCAACAAAAATTGGACATTAGTAATGAATTAGTATTGTTTTGGGGCCAAATTTTTTGTCTTAAAAAATATACCAATTTGAGACCAAATTATTTTGTCCCAGAAAGTTTATTTATTAGTGATATTTTAAAAATTTTGTTACTAAAAGCCTTATTTTTTACTTTTTGGGACGACCTTTCAGCGACTATTCTCATGACGATAGAAATTGGTCTCTAAATATCTTTTGTAACAAAATTTTCGCATTTAAAAACCAAATCATTTAGTCTCTAAAACTCTTATATGTTGTAGTGGTGATTATTTGGTACTCTCAAAGTACAGTCATGTGGTACTCTATGGTATTATGATATGTGGAAAAGGTAGGGTATTATAATTTTGTGTTGGGTGATTGAGAAACATAAAAAGGTATGGTAAATGATAATTGATGAAAGAATATGGACACATTATACTCCAGAAGTACCTAATAATTTTCTCAAAAGATTCTAAAAAGGTTTTGGTGGGAAAAAGGCTAGTAAATGAAAAATCAAGTTATACAAGTGGAGCTAATTTTTGGTCAGATGTTAAGGGATAGGGTGTAAAAAATGGCCCGAAACTCGTGGGTGACCCGAAGTCGGCCCTTGGGCCTGGGACTTACATTTGAAGCTCGGCCCAGCTCGTTAGCCTAGCTTGGCCCACTTGGTCCTCCCTCTGCCAACGGTCAAATTTTAAAAAAAAATAAATAAAATAAGAGGCAAGTTGCAATGGTTAAATAATTAAAAATAATAATAAAATAAAATAAAGGCTTGATCTTGCAACAATGGTTGGGAGGGGGGGGAGGGCCATTTCCTTGCAGGGAGGCAGAGCTAATGCCTACCCATGCTAGTGTCGTTTACCCGCTGCCCCCTTGTCATGCATCACTCACATCATCATTGCAATTTGCAATGAATGAAAAATAAATAAATTAATTAAATGTCTGCACATCTGCAAACTTAAAAAATAATAATAATAAAAATAATTTAACGGTAATATTACCATCTAACACAACAATTATTTTTTTATTTATAAATTTACTTTAATCTTCCAAACTTCTATAAATATTCTTCAATTTTCAAAATAAATTTCACAAACAATTCTCTCTCTCAAACTCTCAATCTCTCTCAACTCTCAGTTAATTTTGAAGTGTCATCCCTAAGTGAGAATTGCAATTGTGCAAAAAGAAACTTTTATCAGAAGAAGCAAATTTTTGTATTGCGTTCGCTAGTCAGTGACATTAATTAGTTTAATTAAATTTATTACCTACTCATTTTTTCATTAATTATTTCTGAACATATATGAATTATTATTTTTTACTCATTATTTAAATTAATTACTAGTTCTTATATATTATTTTACTTACATTACTATGGATCTTAATATTTCTAATGTTTATGTTGATGTTGATACATATACTACACAACATAAATTTGTGATTCTCCTCCTAATATTCGCCTTCCAACAGTTGGATCATTATCTAGAGGCATAGCTAGTAGTGTTTAGGAATATTTTGAAAAAATATCTATAAAAAATCATGATGGTACAATTATATTTAAGGAAAAATGTAAATATTGTGCGCATTTACTTAATGCTGCATCTGCATGGGGTACTAGTCATCTAAAAAGGCATGCCAACAAACATTTACAAAGTCAACAACTTGATATTAGAAGTCAAATGCAATTAGGAGAAACGCCTTCAGATGCTGTTCCATTTGTTAGAAAGATCATGATGTAGAACAATGGGCTCAAGACTTTCTACATATATATATATATAATGCTTCTACTTTTGTTTTGTTTATCTTTATCAGCCTGAAGAATAAGATGCTTTCGGGAGGTTTGTTGTGTGGTGGTGCTGCTACTTATTTATTTTTCTTTGGCTTTAAGGGCTTATCTCGCCTTCATTTTTTCTGTTTTTAGTCTCCAAGGTTTTGCAGATTTTTGTGTGGAAGTTTAAGCAAATGACTATTTAGATTTCTATTATACTACATTTCATATGGCTTCGTCCTATTGATGTACTACTCTCTTTGTACTTTATTGTCTATTATTTTATTCAACGTGTTTGTTTTTCAATTTTTTAAAAATACTTTTCAGAAAATTCTACTTTCTTATTTTTCGTTTTTTTGACTAATTTTTAAAAATATTTTAAGCAATTTTTAAAAATTTTAGATACACCTAACATAAATACACTTAAAAAAAGATCTTTAAAAAGTTCACTAAATATCAAAAATACAAAAAAAAAAATGAAAATTTAGTATATCTTTCATATTTTTGTATCTTTATTAATTTTTTAAAATATTTTTTCACAAATATTTTACTTTTTAGATACATCTAAGTCAGGTGTATCTAAAAAAGTAAAAAAAAATACTTAAAATTTAAAAAATATTCACTAAAAAAAATATGAAAAAAAAATAAATTTTCAAAAAATTTAATCCAAAAAACTGAAACTAAACAAATTAGCTTTCACTGTTTCAGCACAATGATCCAACTGTTTGATAAATGCAATTTGGTCTCCCAAGATCGGAGTGTTTTCATCCACGTAAAATAAGATAGGAGTCTTATTAATTATCTAACAGATATTAAATTCAGTTATAGTTTTGTGCAACATTTTCCATATTAGTGGGAGTAGTTGGAGTCATTTATTATTTTTTTTAACATGTGCCTTAACAATATCGTTCTCATATTTTGTTGCTTTTATCATTTTGGTTCGTGTAATTTTAATTAGTTCAATTTTCATTCTTAATTTAAAAATTTTTATCAATTTAGTTTAATTGATAACATTGATTAGAACTTTTAAAAGAAAATGTCTACTGAGTTGGTTGAAGTTTTTTTTAAATCAACAAAAGAGAGTCCTTTATTAATGATTAAAAAAATACATCAATATCTAATAATTGTAACCTATTGAATGAAATTGAGATGAAATCATAAATTTAAGAACAAAATTGAACCAATTGAAATATAGGAAGTGCGGGTGCAATTTACCTTTAATTAAATTTCTAAATTGCCAATGTTTCTTCAATGAGTAATGCTATATAACCCCAAAAAGACATTTACACAAAACAAAAAAAAAAAAAAAAAAAAAAAAAAAAAAAAAAAAAAAAACCTTGTATAAAATGATATGGTGACATTATGAGCTTATTAGTTTAGAATAAAACAAAAATTCTTGAACTCTCATTGATGCCAAATGAAAATTAAGCACATTAAAATCATCTCTTTAAATTGTTATGGAGAACACAATTTTGGTGAGAAAATTCGGGTGCACTACAAAATTTAAGGCTTTAAAGATCAAAATTTAGGAATAAAATTATT